TGAACATGAGTTGCTACTAAATAGCAAGATCCTCCCTTACTTAAATGGGCATATCTCATTCAATTTAAGTCAAAATCAAGCAAATTATATATCATCAGAAAGTTTATTCGAAGGACTTTTAATTGGGATAGGGGTAGCTTAAGAATTTCACTGGTATCAAACAATTATTTCAAGTTTTAAGGGGGAATTGAAAAGACACTTGGTTCTAATAATTTTCTGAATACACTTTTCTTTGGTTTTTTTTTAGAAGCTCTCTTTTCTCTCTTAACTCTGTAGCATTTTCTCAGTTTGGAGCATCAATGGAGATAACCACGAGAGATTAATTTCGCAATCAACCTATGGAATACTTCATTGTAATGGTTGGATTCTAAGGTTTTATGTTTAAACTTTGAATTTGTATTTTGATTCTTCCTTCCTTCTCTTGATTCTGAATTTATTTTGAATTAAACTTGATTGAGTTTAATTGATTTGATTTAATTAGAATAGAACCTTAAGGATTCAAAATTTTCCTAATTAATATCAATTAATCAATTTGAATTTGATTAGGTATAATCAGAGGCTTGATTGCAGATTTGAGATTAAGGTTAATAAGGATCTAGATCGGTTTATATAGCATAATTGTGTGATTCCTAATTGGTGTATGTATATTGATTAAATGCTTGAAGAATTTCATGTAGATAATTTAAGATTAACAAAATTAGAATCAAATCACATCTATTTTAGTAATATATGATGGATTGGACAGTTACATGAGAGTTTCTTAGGTTGAACTTTGCTGATTGATTTTTTAAAAATAATTTCAGTTTTGCTTTTTGATTAACTTATTATTGTTACATGATAAAATCCCCTAAACATGTCTTTCTTAATCGTATTCAAAAGTGAAAGTGTTCTTTGGAGTTTGATAACCACGTCGCAATAGTATCAAACAAACTAGATTTTTTTAAAAAAATTTGCAATACAAGGAGTAAACCTAGGTCATCTCACAAGGACATAAGATACATTTTGTTTCTGGTTCCATCATGTGATTTCAGATTAGCTTAGAGAAGGATTGTTTTGAATTAAATTGTAAACAACAGAAAAGAAAAGAACAAGGAATAATTATAGCGAAACGAAATATGAAATTCAACCAAATCAAGATCTCAATCACTACAACGCAATTCTCATTGTTACACGAATATAATTCCAACGAATTTCCAATCAACACTAATTCAATACGACATTAATAATCCAAAATCTAAATCTAGATTATGAATTTCATCAAAACAAGAACTGCAATCGCAAATCCAATGCTCTAACAAAATTCAGAACAATTGATTTATTGAATTAGGTGAATTCATTTATTTCAAATATGAAATTCTCATTCTCTGTTTAGAATGCAAACGAAAAATTAATATCATGAAAAACGTAATTATCCTAATCAGAAAAGAGGAGGAAAAGCACGAATTCGATAGAACCTAACCCGAAACTCAAACGCAATGTTGTTCTTGAAACCTTGAACTGATTGATGGATTAGCCTTGCTTCATGATCATGTTTGCTTCGGCCAAAACCAGAAAATATGAAAAGATGGAAGGTAGAGAGATGAAAATAAAGGAAAGAATTTAAAATAAAGACTTGTAATTCTAAAAAAAATTGCGAAAAAAGAAAAATAAAGATTCGTACATAGAGTCATAACCTCTATTTAAAGATAAAATAATTGGGCTTAATTAAGGCCCAACTCCCTAATGAGTTTCCTAAACACCATGACTGATACACAACATTAGGTGTGGCCAATTCCTTCAAAGTTAGCTCAGGGTTATCAGTCATATTCTCAATTTCAAGTTCAGATTCATTAACAGTAGGATTAATAGTTTCAGAAGAAGCACCAAATACACTAGCACTATTTTTGCTAGTTCTTATCCTATGAAGTGTTCTTTCTATCTCAGGATCAGGTTGATTCACTACACTAGGGTTAGCCCTGGTCATGTAAGGTTAGAACCAACAAGAACAACAAGCAATCAATGAATGCACAAAGTAGGTTTACAAAGCAAGTACCATCAAAATGCAAGATATGAATGAAGTGGGACCATGATAAATCTCTTTTTGGTATAGAAAAACACCACAAAAAATTTCAGATTTTTTTGAATTGATTTACCATGGAAACTAGAAGCCTAAAATCAAGAAAAATAGGTCAATAAATGCTAAAAAATAAAAACTTTTAGAAAACATGCGATTTTTGAAAATTGGGGCAGCCTCAACCAGCGGAGTGGGTTGCAGTAGATAGGAAATTTTTTTCTACCCCAAAGTCATGTATGGTGGGTTAATTTCTGACATTCCTAGCAAAAGTTATAGCACTTTTAAGTTTCACAAAAATTCTCTTGGCCACCACAATGTATCTCTTTTTCTATTAATGATTTTTGCAATCTACCAACTCTAAATACTAATAGACACTAAAAGAAATGTGGACACAAAAATTCAGATCAAAATTCAATCTGTAAGTATTTTTTTGGAATTTTTCAAAATCTGATGAATAGTGCATGAACAGTAAAATATGATATCAAAATATGCAGCAACTATGTTTTTCGCATGCAGCCACAACAATTGAACCAATCACAATCGCACACTCAATTGCAGTGAAATAATGGAATAGACAATCAAAGGATCATGAATAAACATTAAAACACGAATTGATCAACACACACATACGAATTGAAATGCAAAACTAAATCTGCAAACGAACACAGAATACTTAGTTTCAGAGTTTGCAAACGAACATAAACACAATACGCAAAACAGAATAGACGAACAAAATGTACTATGAAATAAAAACACAGATGAAATGTAGCACAAACACAGAAACACCGAATCAGTTAGTACACATGATGAAATAAAAACAAATTGACTTATGTCCCCGGCAATGGTGTCATTTTGATAACCACGTCGCAATAGTATCAAACAAACTAGATTTTTTAAAAAAAATTTGCAATACAAGGAGTAAACCTAGGTCATCTCACAAGGACATAAGATACATTTTGTTTCTGGTTCCATCATGTGATTTCAGATTAGCTTAGAGAAGGATTGTTTTGAATTAAATTGTAAACAACAGAAAAGAAAAGAACAAGGAATAATTATAGCGAAACGAAATATGAAATTCAACCAAATCAAGATCTCAATCACTACAACGCAATTCTCATTGTTACACGAATATAATTCCAATGAATTTTCAATCAACACTAATTCAATACGACATTAATAACCCAAAATCTAAATCTAGATTATGAATTTCATCAAAACAAGAACTGCAATCGCAAATCTAATGCTCTAACAAAATTCAGAACAATTGATTTATTGAATTAGGTGAATTCATTTATTTCAAATATGAAATTCTCATTCTCTGTTTAGAATGCAAACGAAAAATCAATATCATGAAAAACGTAATTATCCTAATCAGAAAAGAGGAGGAAAAGCACGAATTCGATAGAACCTAACCCAAAACTCAAATGCAATGTTGTTCTTGAAACCTTGAACCGATTGATGGATTAGCCTTGCTTCATGATCATGTTTGCTTCGGCCAAAATTAGAAAATATGAAAAGATGGAAGGTAGAGGGACGAAAATAAAGGAAAGAATTTAAAATAAAGACTTGTAATTCTAAAAAAAAATTGCGGGAAAAGAAAAATAAGGATTCGTACATAGAGTCATAACCTCTATTTAAAGATAAAATAATTGGGCTTAATTAAGGCCCAACTCTCTAATGAATTTCCTAAACACCTAACTAAGTAAAAGACATAATAATTGGGCTTAATTAAGACCCAACTCCTTAACTAAGTAAAATCAACAATACAATCAAATTCTAAAAATTTTAGTGCAGGGTCGTAACATTGTGACACAATTTTGGACTTAAAGATGCTCGAACTGGGCTTTTTTCCCAACAGAGAAGTTGTAGATCTCTGTCTTATCTTTCCAGGGACACTAATTTTGTCCAATTTCGAGTAGTATAGCTCTAGATATGGTCTTTGCAAAAAACTGTGTCAAAATAAAAAATTATGACGAGAATTAAGAAATATTTATATTTAAATCCTAAATTACTTACTAACACAAATCTAAACTAATACATCAAAATAATGTACTAATAAAGCACAATTAAGCCAAAAACATAAAGAGAAAGATGTACTAAAATATGACTATCAGAGTTCAACCTATGTTTTATCACATACTGCATTTATTAATTACTAATTATTAATTCATTTATCAAAATTACTTTCTAAGTATCATGACATGCATACACAACATATACACTGACTTCTTGAGCACAATACTCGTAATAATTTGCTCCCTCTTAATTCCATATTCTAACTAGTCCTTCCTCCAACCTAATCCTATGTATATGATAGAACACTTGAACACAACTTTTATATTTCAACTTTTTTAGTATCCTAGTTATTTCTTATAAGAACTACAATCTTTCAATAAATAAATTTTTTTACCCGCATATTTTAACTGACCTTTAAAAATTTTGATTAGTGTTTATAACATATGCTCACTATGATTTAAGCAAAAAAGTAAAAGTTGAAGAAAATAAATCTACAATTATATTTATCAATCCAAACAAACAAGTATAAAACACAAGAGAACTATGAGAGATTTATATTACATTCAAGTAGAACATGACAGCACAAAATTTTATTTTTATACAATACTTGACTCTTAACTCCACAAACAAAGCACCAAAATTACTACAACAAACTATGCTAATAGAAGCAACTCGAATATGACTCCTATAAGAAAAAAAAAATTATCGTACAATAAATAAAATTTTACTAGAATTTATTTAAGAAATTATAAATTTATATAATTTAAAGTTATAATTACGCTTATAATTTTATTTTTGTATTACATTATTCATTTTTTTCAGTTTTCCCCTTAATTGTAATAATTATTGTAAAAGTTTGTGTAAGAGTAACATTTCTGGACTTGAAGATCACGAATGAAAGTATAAAGTATCAAAATTAGCCACTTTTGTCAAAGTAACTACTCTAAACCGAGAATTGTCTGCAGGTTCCTTCTTCGTTCTCCATCACCAAAATATTCTTACTCAAATCGAATCTGTCGTAGAGAGCTAAGATCTTAATTCAACGATGTCCAGTGAAAAGTCAGTGCTGGCGGTGATCAGGGCCTCGAGGCCAACCTTCCGTAACCAAAACGACAAAATCGCCTTTGCCGTTCACTCCACCTTCCTCGCTTCCGGCTATGTCCTCACCGCTACAGGTCCCCAGGCCCTCTCCGACGCTGCGTTTTCTGACCCCTCCAATGGTAACAAAAAAACCCTTTTCTTTTTTTTTTCCTTATTTTGCAAAATTTTTAGACATTTATACATGTGCTGCGCATTGTGTGTAGACGAAGTACCCGTTGATCACTGGAACGAGCTAAACGACGAGTACGCGTTCGTTTATGCCAACCCAGAAAAGGGTTCGAAGAAAGTGCTTGTCAAGTGCCTCGTGATGAACGACAAATTGCTCGTTCATGCTCTGTCTGAAGAGTCTTCGGAGCCTTTTCACCTTGAGATTAAGTAATTGAGTTTTTTTTATTTTTTTATTTTCGGGTTTAAGTTTTAGTTGTTTCTATGTTCTGTTTTAGAAGTTTGGGATTTTGAATGGGTTTTCTTTGTTGTGTTTTGAATTGTGCTCATTTGGACTTTGGGAATATTGATTTTTTTTTTTAATTTTACCTTTTTCTAAAAACATTTGGATGTTTGCAACTGAGTTTTCTTTGTTGAGTTCAAACAAAGGATTTCTCTCTTTTTTCTTGTGGGCGAGGGGGTTGTTGTGTTGAATTGTATGCTCACGTTGAAATTGGGTTTGGGTGTGTTTTTTTTAATATGCAGTGTTGGAGACTATGCTGGAGAGGATGGGGGAAGCAATTATTCTCAGCACTTCAAGAATTTGGAGAAACTTGTGAAGAAATTAGATGAGGATATCTTGTCTAAATTAGACGGTTCTTCCAATGCTGGCTCGTCAAATAGAAGGTAAATTTTGATTCTGTGGACTGTGCGAGTGTGTGTCTTCTTTGATGGTAATAATTCAAATTTTCTGAATCGGGCCATTATATAATTATAAAAGTTTAAAAGTTTTACGCTGATAGCGGATAAAAATTGTCAGCAGCATTTGACACTATCACTGTATTTTATCAAAAATTCAAAATGCGTGATTGAATGGTAATGAATAATTGCTAGTGGATGAAAATTAAATCTCATGATTCTTGTAGATAAGTAGTACTAAGAGTATAGAGAGATGAGCTAGTTTTTCATGTGATTAAAAATTTTGAAGGATCTGTCCATCTGGTTCTCGCTTCCTATCTGGTTCATACGTCATATAAGAATGTCATATGAGAAAATATGGTCCTTCCTTTTGTTTTAATTTTGGGCTGTTGTATTAAACACCGGGGCATTGCATATATAAGAAGGTTTTGTGCTATAAGTTTTTATGAACTGGGACCCCCCTTTGTGATATGTCTCATTGTTTTCTATACAGCTCAGAAACCAGCCACAGAACAAGACAAGAGATACCAGAGCCTGTTTCTGGATATGGTGAACCTGCTGGTCCTTCAAATCATCCTACTGGGTATGTGTCCCATAATCCATAGTGCTATGTTGCTTTCACCATTTCAATGATTTTTTATGCCACCCAGTGGATTTATTATCAATTTTGTTCAGTGATACATGCTCTTACTGTTGGCTATTTTGAATATTAAGGATCACTAAGGTTCACTGATCTAAATATCAGGGTGTCATGTAGTTGATGGTTCTTGCTTGGAAATTATGAATGCATCCTGTGTGTATAGGTTTATTGCTGGGTGGTGGGAGGGTTGCTGTGTGTATATGATTACTGTTTTCTACAATCCCCATTATTGATTTGAGATATTGATAAGGTGAATACCCACTTTTCTCCAATGCTAAGCATAATGGGTATAGAAACCTCAAAAAAAATTATCCTTCGTTCCTATCTTATGAACTTTAAGGTGTATGAAGTTTCATTTCTTACTTGATATTTTCATTTTAGTTGGTAGATAGAGAATCCATTTAACTTAAGTTGATGTAGGCTAGAAGTAGACTTATACCAGGATAACCCTTCTTTGAAACACTTTGGTAGTGCTCTTAGATTGTAATCCAAATAAAAAACCAGAGCACATGGAATCATATCTTTATTCTCTATTGAGTCAAAGGATACCCTGGTATGTAGCTGATAAGATTCTGGCTCCTATCTTAGAAAACAGATTGTATTGAAGAACAAAAATAGATCAATAGACCATAATGAAAGAGAAATTCTCTCAGCCAAAATCACCAGATCTGTCTTCTCTCAATTCTAACTAATTTGCCCCCTAATTCATCCCACAGACCATTCCCTGCTGCTCCCTCCTAGGTTGTTAAGAAGGCCTACAGGAATAAACCTGAGGGGCTTTCTGGCCAAGTTTTAGTGGCAGCTGAGTCAGTTGAATCCAGGTTCTGCACAACACTAACATCCTGAGAAATTGCCTTGTCTTCAGGCAGAAAATTATGAAATTTAATCAAAATACAGCATTATGTGATAAGCTTCACTTATTTGTTCGCTTCTCTGTGGCCAAGATATCTTCTACCGGAATGGAGTCAACTGCTCCCTATCCTGGAGGAAGGACAGCATCCAATGAATGATTTTCATGGCCTTTCTTCAGTTGGGACCAAGTTTGTCACACGTGTTTACTCAAACCTGTGTAGGGTCTGTAGACTCAACTTGCAAGAGTTTACCTAATATTTAAACAATATTAGAAAAAACTAGTTATGCATCAAAACAAAACTTCATAGCATATTCTGTAATTTTGACAAACAAAATGTGGATAATATTAATACTGTACAAATTCAGACCAGAAAAAAAATTCAGACTCACAATTACAATTATCAAGTATCAATGTTAGTCACAAATTTGGACAAAACAGGAAGTCACTGCTCCTTGTTTGCAGAGTCCTGAGCCAAACAAAGATAAATAACATACACACCACATGTCCATATCTACACAGAGCTGAGACTGCTTGAAGGTACCTTCTTCATGCAGCAAAGGAACCAAGCAGGTTGCTTGGGTTGTAACTTGCTGGTGTGGTCAAAAGTCACAGCTTGCATGGGTTTAGATCTGGTTGAACTCTGAAGTCACAGCTTGCAGGTAAAAGATTTAAGGGCAGATTTGGGAGTCACAGCTTGTGAAGGAGGCTGGTTGGAAGTGGGTTGAGATGCTGTGCTGATCAGAGAAAAGTCCAATGTAAAAGGAGAAATGTTAAGGAAGATCTGTTTGGGAAGTAAGAAGCCCCCTTGACATCTTTTCATTTGCAAAGAATTCTCAATTTGAAAATACAGAGATAAAATGCTGATGTTTGAATAGGAAAAAGAGTGGATCTGCAAGGTCCCAAATGAATTGGCTTATTTGATCTTCTTTGGAAGATCTATCTTGTGTCTGGTACTGCATGGTTCCACCTTGTAAAAACTTTGAATCATTTTCTTGAAATTCATCCTCTTCATCATAAATGATCTGCTCTATATTTGTTCGGATAAAATGTTTAGCTAATCTATGCGTCCAACCAAAATATTCTTTCTTCTTCTAACTTTTTGATCTGCCCATTCATTTTCATTGTCCATGGATCCAGAGAAGAGAGGCACACTATAGAAGCATAAAAAAAAATTGGCCACTGTGCTGTTTTGGGCCTTTTTAGGGCTTATTTTTTCACCTTTGCTAAACTCATTGATTTATGCAATTTTGTGTAAACCTGGCTGAGTTCACCCAAATCTAATCAGGAACCAGTTTCCTAGCGAGCTTACGCGATTTGGGGACCTAAACTCATAACTTGGGCAAGTTTACAAGTTAACTGACAAGTTTGGCAATCATGGGTGGGACACATGGAAGACTAGGTGCATGCAAGCAGTGGGTGACAACTGCAGTTAATGGATCCACCCCACAGGCTGAAATTTGAAATGGATCAATATTGGTCAGAGAGCTTGGATTGGTCCATCATGGTTCTCGAGAGTAGACTGAACAGCAATCAATCCAAGCATCTTTGGTGTCTTGATGTTGAGATGTCACTGTAGTTTGCATAAACTACAAACAATTTCTCCAAAACACTCAATGATGGCTCCAATTTATTAGGATTTTAGGTCCTATTTAGAAATGGATATTGTATTACTGAACTAAATTTGATTGACCGGCAGAAATGATAGACCAATGCTCTCTTTAAAAAGTTTCCTTCCAATTCCTCATACAAGTCATTCCCTGTTGTTCCTTCCTAACTCCTAAGCCATTCAATGCTGACCCCTCCAAGCTTTAGTGGCAACTGGGACAGCTGAGTGCAGGATCTGCAGGTTCCTCTCAGTACCACCTGTCTAGATGCATACTGTGCTAAATATTTTTTATAAAACCTAATAACTACAATATTGTATTTATCTTTCATGATCAAAGATTAATTTCTTCATTGTGAATTGAGTGATGAACATACATTTTGTGGCTAATGTAAAGTCTTTGGAAAATTACTCCACTGTTTCTTCCCAACTTTTAGAAAGAAACATAATACTGTTTTTTAACCTGAGTATACATTTTTGCTGATTCTCCTTGTAACTGACATACTTGTTATCTTCAAATGAACTATCAGTTGCCTATATATCCCATCCTGTCTTTCTGATCCTCCTTTTTAATTTTCCCTGCATATAACTGCTATTTGCTTTTGTACTAATTAATTGTGTTTTAATAATTTGTTTTTCTTCTGTATAGAATTATTTTCCCTCCAGTTCCCATTGGTTCTGGTAGTGATCTTGTTCCTGGGCCTGCTGCTGGAGTTCATCCTTCAAGGTATCCCTGCATTATATTTTCAATCTCTTAACACAGTTGTTAAGTCCCTGTGTTTTTTTTAAGTAATTCTCATATCATTTGAAACTATATTCACTTGATTTCAGGGGTGGTCATGGCATTGGTGGGGGCATGCTTGTTGGTATGTTTAACATGTTTACATGTAAGTGTGTATTATTTTTGCTTAATTAAAATTGTTGATGCTGAGTTCAACTCTTGGAAGCAGGGCCTAATGATCCCCGTTGGTTTGGTGGTATTGGTGGAGATCCCGCTTTTCCTGGAGGATTGCCGTAAGTTGTTTACATCACTTTCTTTTCATTATTTCTGAATGATTTGCAAAGTCAAAGTTACCACAACATACAAGGCACACTTTAGGGGCTAAGGCATGATAAAGGAAGGTTCCAGTGCTTCTTACACTTTGAGGCACTAGCACTCGACTGACATGCACATCGCCCTTGCCTTGAAATGCTTCTCCTGCGAGAGAGCTTAACTAATGGACAATGGGCTTGAAAGACCCAAGCCATGAATAGCATCAGCTTTCATGTATGATGCAACTATTGAATGTACATAAATGTGAGAGATGTCACCTACCAACAAGCCAAATTCAACCACTGTTGAAGCAAGCAGTTACCTCTTTTTTTCTTTCAACTGTTTATTCTACTCTTTAGGAAAACTTTTTAACTGTTTCTTTCTATATCAGTGGGGTTTTGGCTTTTGGTACCTCTCACCTTTGCGCATTAAGTGTCCCTAGCGCCTAAGGCTGCCATTTGCCTTGGACTTCCCTGTGGCTAATTTTTAGCTTATATATGGTTAATCTGTCTAAATAGGGGTGTTCCTCCGGGTGCACGATTCGATCCGTATGGTCCTCCTGGTGTTCCTGGTTTTGAACCCAACAGATTTGCAAGGTATGGCAGAAGAAAGTGTATTCCATATAATATATTGCAGTTATGACACAATTTTTATGTTTACCCTTGTACATTTTTTGTGAATTATTTTCTTTAATCTCTCTCTATTTATGTTATTGTTAACTTGGAATGTTGAAAGTGAAACAAGTTGTTGAGTCTGAACTGTGATTAATATTAAAGGAATATTGATTCAGGTAAAAGAACTGAAAATAAAAAAACAATGGAAGTTAAGGATATTTGATGCCTTGAAGGTTTAACTTAGATCTTGGAAACACACTGATTTAAACTGCTGGCCCTGGCTTTGAGGCATTGAGGTTTAGTTCGTAAAATTTTTATGCTTAAAGCTTGATTTGAGATTTCTTCTCAATTGCTTGAAATGGATTCCACTTTCTATCAATGCTTGTATATATTATCAATATATTTTGAAATAGGGCTAACTAGAGTCTTAAAATATGTTATAGAAATTCATTTAATGAGACAGTATGATATGAGTGGCCGAGGTAAAAGAAATCGGTACCCAAATAACCGAGAAAGTGATCTCAAACTGCAGTTATTCAAAGGTGGAGAGTTATCATATCTAGCATAAACACGTGTTTTTACTCGTCTTGCAGGAATCCTAGGAGGCCAGGATTTGGCACTCATCCAGATTTGGAACATTTCAGGAGAGATACTGATTCAGATTACATATAGTTATTGTATTATCACCACCTTCCTTTGCTTCTTATTTCATTTTCATTTCTCTGTTTTGTCAATAGTCCTTTTATCAAGGAAAGATAGAAAACATTGAGTGAGCTCTGCTCAGTCATACTTTCCTTCGTGTTATCCATCACTATGTGCACCCAAGAGAAGTTTGGATTATTTGAATGTGCTAATGATGTTGACTGTAAAGTTAAAAACATACCAAAATACCATGCATAATGAAGTGATTTTGAGTTACTCTTGTTCATGGCTTTTCATTTTTGTCTCATTAACTGAGGATAAACAGTTAATAATAAAATTTTATTTAAAAAAATATTTGTTATAATTTTATAACTTCAATATAATAAATGTTTACTTCTTTTAGAATTTTTTATTTATTTTTAGATATTTAAATTCAGTCTTTGGTCAACAAAACTGGAGGAAAATATGTTTCATGGAGAAGTGTTCCTTGCGAATTATTTTTATTTTTGATGTCATTAGTTTATTGAAGAGTTAGGATATTTAAGGGTGATTGTATCTTTATGAAAATTTAAGGATTTCATTATAAACTCTTAGTTTAAATAAAATTTTTGTTCTTTTAATATTCATTCATTATGATTTTGATCCTTAGATGTGTCTATTGAGGTATTGATTCTTGTCTTTTAAATTGTTCGAGTTTTGAGCCCTATAATTTGCTTATTTGAGTTTTAGTTAAAAGTTTTACTTGTTAAAGTATGGGTCCTTGAAGTTTTCATTAAGGTATTACTTTTTTAAAGGTTGAATAAATGATTAAATTATCCTATCTTATTCTTAAAAAAACGATTTAATTGTTTTTATGAAAGTAAAATATTTGAATTTCTTCAGAGTATATAAACTTCAATACTACAGTATCGTTGAGAAAACTTCAAGATTCTGAAATTCTATAGCCTTGGTTCGTGTTTATTACCTTAAAACAACGAAAATAAAAGAGTAAATATCATTTAGTTCTGAAAATTGTAAATGTTTAGTTTTCAAATTAATAGAAATTTAAATTTAATTTTGAATTTTATATATCAATCTTTTAGAAACTTTGTTCCTTCTTATAGGATAAAGTTGTACAAGTGGAAGGTTGAATTTTATTCATCAGGAAATTGATGAAATTTTTAAGGATTTTAATTCAGTATAACCTTGTGTCCAAAGATAAAAGTGTTTTAGAAGATTATGAAAAATGGTCAAATCTTTAAAAATATTTAATTGTTAAATTGTTAGGCAAAAGAGTAGAATTTAATTATATGTCAAACAAATTAAATAACTTATGGGATTGGAATAGAAAATTAAGTGTGTTAGATCTTAAGGATGATTTTCTTTCAATTAAGTTTAAATATTTAGAGGGTTATGAAATTGCTTTATTTGAAGGTCTTTGTTTACTCTTGAACTATTATCTTTTAATCTAACATTGGAGGCCATTATTTAGACCAAAATATTATATTGTTCAAAATATTATAGCTTGAATCAGAATATTTGATCTTCTTATAGAGCTTCATAAAAAAAAATAATTTCTTTGACAAATAAGTTTATGCTTCGATACAATAGTCAAGATTGATTTAATATTTCTTTTCACTCTAGGAGTAAATTTATTAGGATTTCATATTGAACCAAATTTAAAGAAACAATTCATCTCTTCTTTCAAAAGTATTAGGCCAAGAGATCCCTAAAGAGTTTAAAGACTTTACATCTTATATGTTTCATGTAATAAATATAGTCATAAGCAAGATAAATGTCAAGAATTAAATATTTAAATGCACTCGATTGAGCTCTTAATAATAAAGAGCAAAATAAGATAAAATAGTTATGCATTATGATAGAAACTAAAATCAAAATTTAAGATTTGCAAAGGAAAGTGATAAGAATTTTTGGTATGTGGATGTTTGGTCAAAAGACCTAAGGAGAAAATAGAACGTAGATACTGCTCAAGGTTTTCAACATGTGTTGAGAAATTCTAAAGACTATGGATTAGGATATAGATTTTGAAATTTTTAACAATACAAACAAGGAAGGCTATGCAAATATATTTTAGGATAGTCAACCTTTTATTCTCAAACCCTAAGAATTATTTATTAGTAAGAAAAGACATAAGCAAAAATTGCATAATAAACAAATAGAAAATAATAATTTTTAAATTAGAAATCTTCACACGTTTCAAAATTATTATCTCAAAATATTTTCATTCATTCTAAGAAATCCCACATTACTAGACTTAATGTTGTAGTATTTCTAAATGTTTTCAAAATATTCTTAAAAGTCCTACATTAATTATTGTTGATGTTGGATAGAGTAAAAGAATTTATAAAAGAGATTTAAGTAGCTTAAGGTATAGTATACAAATGGAGAAAATTGATAGGGTAGTTGTCAATGATCTTTGGAGGTTTTCTTATTAATCAAAGTTGTGTTTATTTTTCAGTAGTTAAGTCAGGTCATGTAACTATTTGACATAGACTTAATCATCATCCATCCTCTTATAAAAGTCAAAGTTTAAAATTTTAATTTATTGGCTAACTCATTCAAACTTTTCACCAAGTTAAGAGTTCTTGGTGTATTGGTGATAACTAGAAAAATAATATAAGTTTAAAAATATAATTTTTTATTAGAATAAACATATATTTGATAATATCTTTAATAAAAAGAAAAAGGAATTTTAATAGAATTCTTTAAATTTATAGGAAATTAGCTTTATACAATAATTATTTCTTCAAAATATACTTAAAATATCTAGCAAGGTTATGAAAGTATCTTAGATAAAAAAATAAAAAAAAATTAACCGGTTCTATGATTTTAGAGTTAAATAGATTAAGTTGGGAAATAGAAATAATAAATTCTTCCACTAAGTTGTCATTATTTATAGGTAAAAATAATAAAATCAATGACCTCCTAAATAAGAATGGAAATTAGGTTCCTAAATTAATCAAATTGTAACATATTACTTAAGATTACTTTTGTGAGTACCCAATTTTGTCTAAAAAGCTTTAGTATTTTATATAATAAAAATATTCTAAACTTGGTTTTGCAGAAGAAGGAATGCAAACAATGTGTTTTCTAAAATAAAGATTGTCTCGTAAAATTAAGTTAAAATTGGTTTCCTTATTATTACAATTAAAAGTCATCCCAAGAAAGGGTTCGAGATTAAACCAAAGTTGCAAAGTAGAGAGAAAGAAAATCAGCATTGAGGAGAATCTCAAGAACATGAAAATAGGCAGAAATAAAGGAAGAGAAAATTGAAATAGATTCAAAGAATATTTTGAACAAATTTAGTGCCCAAAAAAGTTAAAACCAAAGACAAACATTGACCAAAAAGAAAGGTGCAAGGCATGCTACATTGAAAATTTCTTTAAAACAAAAATGCATAATAGAGAAGAAAAGGGACGAAAAAAACTAAAGCAAAAAAAATTCAGAAAAAAAAGAATTCATAAAAAATAAAAAAAAATATATAAGAAGGCATTACAAAAAAAGAGAAAATGAAGAACAAAGAGAAAACAAAATAAAATATGGAAGTGAGAAAAAAATGAGATAGAAAAAGAAGAATAGAAAAAAAAAACATAGAGAGGAAGAACAAAAATTAAGGAGAAATGAATCTTGCAACACAAAAAAAAATCAAGTTTTCATATTTAGCCACCATTGAAGCATGAAGAAGGTCAATATTGTGACTCACATTGTAGCCTTCCATCATGTCTTTCTCCTTGGACAGGTTTGCAACATCAAACTTCCCAATGTGACTTTTTCTTTCTCTCATGAGCACTGAAGCAAGATCATTACACATTCTCCTAAACTTAATGCTCAATCTTGTTCTAGATGGTTTAAAAGAAATGAAATTAGTCTTGAAATATGTTAGATATTGAGCTCTCATCCTACGTGGAGAAAAAGCCCAAAATGAGCAAACTCACTTTCTCTCACTTATAAAAGTGAAATGAGTCTTCTAGATTGTATGTGTGTGTGTGTGTGAGAGAGAGAGAGAGAAAGAGGTTATTAGAGTGAAAGAACAGTAAACTTGGCAAGTGAAGAAAAAAGTCATTTCTATATAAATTCAAAATAGTATCGATAAATATGTGTTTTCAAAGTCGTTTATCATTAGCTTGAGTTGAAAATTTGACAGTAATTTTTTGATGTATGGTTCTTTATTTTGAACGTTTGGATTGTTCAAAGGAGATTTGTGGTGTAATTAATAGTATTCACAAAGTAACTCTATTTTTTGAGTATTTTCATCTTTTTGATTCTCAATTTTGTAATTTTTGTTGTTGGGGTTGATTGATTGGTTTTAAACGCAGTTTGTGCATTTACTTATGACTCTTTTGTACCCATGTTTAATCATAGTAGAATTGTTTCTTTAATCTTGAAGACTCTTGGTTTCTACTTCTCACATTGAGAGTTTTCCATATTAAAAACTTCATGCCTACTTTTTATTTTGTTATTACTACTCATAGATTCTTACAAGTTGGCATATTTAATTCTACTACGTTATTTATTATTGCATTTATGTTGATGTGCCCCATCAAAGTACCCTCAGAACTTTTTGGTTTAAAGACGTTGTACTTGCGTAAATGATTGAGGTAAATACAAATCGAATGATTAGTTTGAATGACACTAATTATCACTTGTGAAAGGAAAAAATAAAAAAAACTTCCTATGTCTAATGAATAATGAGACTTTGAGCATCAACCAGTGTATGGTTTCATTCGTCATTTTGTAGATGATAATGTTTATAACCATATTGTGAGTGAGACATATGCCAGGACTTGTGCGAGAAGATTAAATCTTTGTATGGCTCTCAGTTTAGGAACAACAAGTTGTGTTTGTTTAGTTTCATTGTGAGTTTGAAGTACAAGGAAAAGACTTCAATTTCATATCACTTGAATGAATTTATGGAACTTCTTGATTAGATGTCAAGAATGAACATTAAGTTTGATGATGAGATTTTGGGATTGTTATTATTGAATTTTCAACCTTAGTCTTGGGAGATATTTAAGGTTTTTGTTATAAACTCATCCTCGAATGTTGTTGTCACTTTGCAAATGGTAAAGGATGGTGTTTTTAATTAGGTGAAGGAAGACACACGATTTTTCATTTCAATCTGAGGTGCTTATCATTGGAAATATAAGAAGTCAAAAAAGAGAATCAAAATGTGGTAAAGACAAGGGAGGAAGTGAGTCTAGATGTGATTATGATGATGAGGATCGTCTCACTACTACTACTAGTATAGGTGATGATCTCGTTCTTAGTGACCTTTAATTA